GATTCAAACTCCCATGCATTCACTCAACATTTCCCAGAATCTCTCTCTCCTGTACACTTCTCTCTTCTCCAGGTGCATACACGCTTACTATAACCCACTTTTCACATCCAATCTTTATTTTACTCAACATAATCCTTGAATTATACATTTGTAGTCCCTCTTTTCCTGCATAGCTTATCCTTCAACATTATTGCTACTCCTTCTTTAGCTCTAACTCTATTTGAAACTCCTGACCTAATCCCATTTATTCCTCTCCGTTGAAACTCTCCCACCCCCTTCAGCTTTGTTTCACTTAAAGCCAGGACATCCAGCTTCTTCTCATTCATAACATCCACAATCATCTCTTTCTTATCATCTGCACAACATCCACGCACATTCAGACTTCCCACTTTGACAATTTTCTTCTTCTTATTCTTTTTAGTAATCTTTACAGGAAAAGGGGTTACTGTATGTGTATATATTTATTTATTTATTTATTTTGCACAAGATTTTTACATTTAAGAAGTTCATAGATTTTTCTGTTTTCTTCTGGTAAGTCATTTATATAAATTGAAAACACTATAAGGGCAAGTACAGATCTTATTGTTCCATACTGTTAACATTTCCTCAAGACGACATTTTTCCTCTTATCACTTTGCATTCTCTGCTCAACGAGAAAGTCTATTATTCCTTCTGTTTTGAAACTTCCAAAATTAGTCTCAGATGGGAACTCTATCAAAACCTTTCTTAAAACTAAATATCTACAATTTCCTCATCCACTTATTCTTGAAAAATTTGTACATTTTATAATTGGTTATACAATAATTTCCAGTCCAAAGGCCAAATTATTTACCAGTTAGTAGGTCAGTAGGATTTTGTGTGTGACTACACTCCAGTGCAGCACCATGTAATGATTCTTCTGTGTATGAAGTTTTTGTTCATTATGGTTTCCATCATTGTTTGTACTCAGTGAGTTACATTCTTTCATGCTCAGTGAAGTACAGTTTTTGTACTTTTAATAATTGTATTTTGTATTTTTAATAATTGTTTAATTTTTTATACATTTTTTAAATTATGACTTCTATTTCTAAATTAGAAGTAGGATGGTTCATGGATCATCTAGCAGAATTACTTGGTAAATGTTGACAAAAACATTGGCCTTCTCTGGAACCTCATCTTTTCAAGAGCAAATAGCAACCTTAACATACTTATTGAAGAATTACAATTGTTAGTCTGTCTGCTTTACGTCACACACAAACTAAAGTCCCCTCTCTTACCCCTGTACAACCAACTAAAGCATTTGTGAATGTAATTCTTGGGAAAAATATTATTAATTTCCCTTGTTCTTTTCTTTACATAAAGACATGAAACTTGCTAACATATTTACATAATTATCATATTGCCGACAGATTCACTAAATAAATGCTTATTGTTTGTGATTTATACTAAAAACATTTTTGGGGGGGAAGCATTTTATGCAATAGAATATTGAATGAATTTCAAGAAAAATTTCAGTGAAAATCCTTAAACTAATATTTTTCTGCCAGTGGTTACTTGAAAGCTAGACAACATTTGCAAGAAGGAAATTATGGAGAGATCATTGAATGTTGCCAGAATGAATTGGCAAACCCTCTAACTCCACATAAAGTGGAATGTTTGTTGCTGCGCGCTACTCTATACCAACTGCGTGGCGAGAGCAAAAAGGCCATGGATGACCTCACTGCCCTCATCAATATTGAAGATAGTCCACTGAAGGTGAGACACTAGAAATTAGTAGGCCTTTAACAACTCATATAGCTTGCGTTTTAAACTTAAAATTTACTTTCACTTTTTAATTCGTTCTGTGTAATTTCAGTGTTTATGCATAATTGTACAAGACCAAAACATGTAGTCAAGTGGTCTTTCTGATTAAAAACATGATATTTGTAAGGCAGTGGTGATGCATGACTCATTTGGGTTTAGTGCTTTCTTTGAATACAATAATTTTTGTGAGGTAACAATTCAGTAATAAGTTACACTTGTAAATGTTGTAATTGACATTGTATTTTGGTGCTCTTATCATTAGAGTAATATTTAACAGTAAAAAGATTAGATCAAAGGAAAGACTCATAAAAATAATAAAATTTAAATATTAGTTGGGACCTGTGGTTTGGCCATTTGACTGATGTGAGTACATTACAAACATACTCATACACCTGACATCCATTAGGTTATTTTTGAGTATACAAGTTTTCCTTTATATGTTGAACGTAGGTTGATATGTGCACATACCAGAAAACCATTTGCTCACTTTGAACGTAGGTTGATATGTGCATGTACCAGAAAACCATTTGCTCACTTTGAATAACCTAAATTTTTTTATTTGCAGATGCTTGTCAATGCTTTGGTAAAACGTGGCTCATTATACATGCAACATGAAAAAGTAGAAGACAGCCTTCGTGATTTTGATCGTGCAGCTCTTCTTGATCCCACCAATTCTGATGTATTCCATCACAGAGGACAGGTATATTCTTACAGCCTTGTGTGGTGTATAAAAGTATGCATTATAATTTTGTAGTAATATTATTTCTTTTTCTGTCTCATAAACACGCTAAGATAACAGGGATATCTTGCTACTCCTACTTACACTTTGGTCACACTTCATAGACACGCACATGCATATATATATATATACATACATCTAGGTTTTTCTCCTTTTTCTAAATAGCTCTTGTTCTTTTTTTATTTCTTCTATTGTCCATGGGGAAGTGGAAAAGAATCTTTCCTCCGTAAGCCATGCGTGTCGTATGAGGCGACTAAAATGCCGGGAGCAATGGGCTAGTAACCCCTTCTCCTGTATACAATTACTAAAAAAGAGAAGAAGAAAAACTTTATAAAACTGGGTTGCTTAAATGTGCGTGGATGTAGTGCGGATGACAAGAAACAGATGATTGCTGATGTTATGAATGAAAAGAAGTTGGATGTCCTGGCCCTAAGCGAAACAAAGCTGAAGGGGGTAGGAGAGTTTCAGTGGGGGGAAATAAATGGGATTTAAATCTGGAGTACTGAGAGAGTTAGAGCAAAGGAAGGGTAGCAGAAGTTAAATGACAGTTATGGAAGGAGAAAAGAGAAAATTTAATGTGTAAAAATTTTAAAAATTATGGGTTTAAAGTAAAGGGGTTTGGAAGGGG